TCTAACTTGGTTCCCCATACTACCATTCCAAACTTTTCTTTCTTCTTTTAAAGCATATAAACATGAAACTCAAACCACTTAACTCTACCCTTTTATCCCAAACTTCTAACCTAGAATCAAGCTCAAGATGCAAGCTGATATCTACAACAGAGCTTTTCTTTGCCAGCATTAATCCTAACGCATTTTGCCTAGACAAAATTCCAAAATGATATGCAAAGGCGTCACAACTCTCAAGATAATGTTTAAGCTCAAAAGAAGGTTTGGTTAAGGGTGTGGATTAACTGTCCCATAAGTATGAGGATCAGCCACTACAAAAAAAGGGTAGATTGTATCATTTAAATTGTATCACTTTACTATTTTAAGTTACTTATTGATAAATAAAACAAATATACATGATTTAACATCAGTTATAATAATTGATGTTTTAATTAACTAGTTTAGTATCAATTCAATAAAAATGATGCAAATTCTATTGGTTTGAATCACTTTAATAAAATTGTTACTAAAATAGAATTTTACATCATATATATAATCGATGCACTTGTTAAATTTTGTTAACATCGCTTCTAAAAAATGACCCAACATTAACATCAATAGAAACTGATGCTAATAAAACTTATACTAATAATTTAATTAATACTAAATTAAAGATGAGATCCATTAAGATAATGAGTCTTCTCTCTTCTTCTTTGCTCGCAGCTGCAAACTAATTTGCTCTTCCGACAAGGTTTTCTCTATACTCTGCACATTTCGATATATACAGTTTTAATATATGGCGATGAGATTATATACACATATGTACTGGTTCAGAAGGGCTATACAAGAGAAAGAGAACGGAAATTTGCAGTTCCTGTAAAGCACAAAGATTTTGAATTTCTGATCAAGAAGTTAACTCTGCCGTTCACGGCGGTTCTACTCGAGGCGTCACCGATCTGTTACCCTACAGGTAACCCTATTCTCCTCTGACCCAAGCTTTCAAATTCAGAGGATTTCAAGAACTATCTGTCTGATTTTGTTGTTTCGTACAAGAATGTTTCTTGCTTTTATGGTTATTTCTTGTTTGGGGGATAATTGTGATGCGTAGAATCTCTTGGGCAAACATTGGATATAAAAAGAGGAGCAACATTGTTCAATAGGTGGAAACATTATTCAACCAATGAGTTTATAAACACTTCAATGAAAAAACTCATGAACCATTCTTTGTTCACTTCTCTGCAACGATCATATATCCTTCTCTTTACAGGCTGTAACACTTTTCACAAGTGACATCCAAAGGTTGTGAAATAACCAATGCTCCAACTCTCAAAGAGATGACTTGTGTGCGGTTACAGGACTGTAGGACGCTTCAAATCCTATGTTCGGAATCGTGCTAAGCCTGAAGGTTCCATATGTGAGCAATATTTAGCTGATGAGTGTGTAACATTTTGCTCAATGTATCTCAATGATATAGAGACACGATTTACTTGGATTGGCCGTGTTGATGATCGACCTGTAGCTCAAACTAGTATAAGACCAATTTCATAACTTCCACTTATTTTTCAAAACTTTGGAAGACTTGTTGGAGCAGGTCATGTTTACACTCTTAACCATATAAAGAGGCAGCAAGCGCTTCAACATGTATTGATCAATTGTCAACTACTTGATCACTTACGAGAGTAAGTTTCTCTCGTTCAAGAAAACTCATTTTAACTATGTTTGATTGAAATTATCTAATATATAAGTTATGTTAATTATTTTTTGTTTAGGATGTATAAAAATGAGCTGTGGAGGAAACCATCTCATCAGAGCAAGAGGAATCGTGCTATCGAGATTGACCGAGAAATGTATCTAAGTTTTGCAAAATGGATCAAACAGAAAGTAGATACAAATGAGTTAGATGGGATAACTGATGATTTGCGATGCTTAGCTTATGGTCCATCTGAAAAGGCTGTCAAATATACAACTTACAATGACAATGGTTTCAAATTCCGAACAATGGAAAGAGATGCTGACCTGAAAACTCAAAATAGTGGTGTTTATGTAGGTGCAGAGACTATGAGTTATGCTAGTTTTCGTGATTCTAATCCAATAACAGGAACTGAAGCGTACTATGGACATCTGGTTGAGGTTATGAAGTTAAATTATTATGAGGTTTTCAAAATTGTATTATTCAAGTGCAAGTGGGCTGACACTCGTACGGAAAGAGGATACAAAATGGATGCATATGGTCATCATATGGTAAATTTTTCAAGATTGTTATCCTCAAGAGAGAATGTGGAAGATGAGCCGTATATATTAGCGTCTGGAGCAAGAATGGTATATTATGTAAAAGATCCTAGCAAGGTAGATTGAAATATCGCATTTCATTTTCAGCCTAGAGACGTATATGATAGGGGTGATGCTGATCGTGAATCTGCGTGACAGGCCAACAGGTTGTATCAGACTCTCGAGTTTCTTAATACTTAAGAGTTTGAAAATTTTGGATTTTGTAAGTTAGGCGATGAGCTGTTTTTTGATGGTTATGTTTTGATTCTTGTTTCGTACTTGTAACTAGATTTCATGATTGCAAATTTGGAATTTAGTTTTGAATACAACTACTTCTGAGTTCTGTTGATTTTTCTGGATACATCTACTTCTCAGTTCTGTTGAATTTCCCCTTTTCTAATTGTGTTTTACTTTCTCATCGATCAACCCCTTTTCTAATTGGGTTTTAATGTCATTTGTTTTCATTTTAACAGGTGTACCGTATACATTTTGTGGCGATTGCTTTCGTGAAGAGTCCATATTTATGAATTTTGTTGTTGGTAATTTCTAATACGTATCCCTTTTGCTAAACCAAACCTTGTGGATTTTGTTAGCTATTTTCAAGTACTTTTTGTGACGATGGTTTCAAATTACTTCAATGTCGTTCTTTCAAACTTTTTGAGGCTATTTCTGATGGGGATATGGAAGGTTGGTACTAGCTCATTTTTTTTTGTTTTAGACACTTGCATTTTCAAGACTGGAATTAGATATTGGATATGGGAGCATAAGGATGAATGGTTTTATTGCTGTAATGATGTGTCTCAGAGGTATAATGTTCTGCAGCCTAATGCCATTGTTTCTGCTGGCTCTGGAAAACTCTGCTCGTACTGCTAGCAACTGATTTTAACAACGCGTGGCTATATCTCCCTTGCACAAAGCATCAATCAATACGCTGTAAAACACAACATCAGCTCTTAAACTGACGCTCTTAAACTCCCTAAATATCTCCATTGCCTCTTTGTACAAATCCCCTTCCGAGTACACATCCATCAAGGTAGAATAAGTCAGTAAATTGGACCGAACATACTCCCGTTTCATCTCAGAGAAAACGTTCTGTCAGGCTGCACACCATTCCTCTGCATCTCATCGAAAAACTCGGCTACTCGCTGAAACTCCATTCCTCCTTTACCGCACGCGTCAATCACGACATTGTAGGTAACCAAATTAGGCTTCAAGCCATAGCTTTTCATGGAGTTGAAGACACTAATGGCTTCCTCATGGAAACCACTTCTACCATAAGCGCCGATGAGAGCAGTGAAGGCGTAGACCGTGTTTCCATACCCACAAGCCAAAGCAGTTTCGCAAAACTCTCTTAGCGTGGCTATATCTCCCTTGGAGCTTACCTCATGTCTCTAACTTTTCTTATGCGGCTATAGTTCCCACTGAACATGTTTAGTTAACGAAATCAACCTTAAGATGTTTCTAAACTTCTTTGACTCATTTTATTGATGCTAATTATAGAGCAGACAGAGTTTAGTCTTCTGTTTATGTGAAGACTGAATTTGATCTCAGTAATTAAATATTATTGCTCGTCGTTGATGTTAGATGGACAATATCAGTAATTAATTTTCTCAAAAAGGCCTATTTGTTTGTTGGGTCAGCTAGCCCATATTAAATATGTTAATGTTATGTCCTCAAATGTAATAGAGAGATCGACAAGGAGGGGATAGAGAGATTCTGGAATTAGAAAAGAGAGAAAGATCTGAGAGAGAGAGAGAGAGTTCTTGAGCGATTCCGCGCGTGTTCTGAATCTCTTCTTCTATTTTAAGTTTTACGGTTACTTTTGCTTGATTCAATTGGCAAGTATGGAGAAAGATCGTGATTTGGACATAAAGATGTAAGTTTGATTGATCCTTCTAATTAATTAAGTTTAGATTAAGTAAAATTTATAGCCAAAATATAAAACTGCTTAAAGCAACCGAATATATAGAGTATATTGTTGGTGAAAAAATAACAAATCTTCAATAATTTTTTTCAGATCCCGCTAATTTTTTTTGTCACAGGCGGAATTTTATTTTCTCTAAATTTGAAACAAAATTCATATAAATATTGACCACTACTGAATTATTAGATTTATTTAGGGTTTTAAAACATTTCTCTTTAGGAAAAACAGCTACAGAGCAACCAGAATTCATCAATCCCATACGATCGGGTAAAGTGAGTTAACTCTCAGATTTCTCAATATGATTTGTATTATGTTCTTTAATTATTGACCTACTGATTTAAGCTATGGTGATTTTGGTTTTGAAATTTATTGTTTTTGAGAATCTCTGAAATTTGATTTTGCAGATTGAACATTTATAAAAATTGCATTTATACGCTAGCTAAATAATGATCTATCCTTAAATGTTTGACTGATGAATCTCAAAGGTCATGACTTGTGCTTTTATAGAAAGCTGTAGTAATAATATAGTGATTTGTTTCTCTTTCTTGTGTATAGAGAGAGGAATATGTGTTATTCGAAAGAATTTAGATAGTATATTTTCTTTTTCTATTATTGACTCTTAAATGTTGTATTTTGTGAACAAAGATAATAATTTCATCTTACATTTGACTTTGATTAGTTTTTCCAGTATGTTTAATTTTGTTCTCTAATTTGTCTATATTTACGTAAACTATGAGTTATATGTTTGACAAATCATTGACTGGATGCACAAATGAATTCAGTTTTGTCTATATATACAATGTTTCTTACATGTTTACCCTAATTTAGGATCATGGATTTTGTGGATTCAGAGACACAATCACCAGAAGATTTCCCACATCGGGAAGCATATTACAATACGCCACCTGCACTTGCTCCTGAATGTAAAAGTTTCAAATGGAAAATACAAGTCATAGGTGATATAAATAAACCAATGTGTATGAATGTTCACTCTATTTATTGTATACTTATTTGAATTTCTTCTAATATATGTGTTCTTCAACAAGACACTGATGGAAACATAGAAGGCAAAATGACAACATCTAAAGATGTCTGGAAATTGGAAACTACCAAAGTGATAGTGCAGTGCGACGGAGATAGCGGTCAGCCAATTGGAGATTCTGGAGGTTTACTTGGATCATGGTTAGGTCAATTAAGCAATGATGTGAATTTGCTACCCATTAACTACAGCGATTGGAGGGTGGTTCCTAATTACACAAAAAACGGCATGTGATGTAATTCAGGTAATAGCTAACATTTATTCAGCTCTATATGATAATGTTTTGGTTTGTTGACTCTTTTTATGTTCTGTCATTTCAGTCCAAATTATGGCTTGATGATCCGATGATGAGAAAAGAATATGTGATGAGTGCATTAGGTTTATTTTTCTAGGAAGCACTTAGAGAGTTGTTGAGTAAAAATCCGCAAGTCACAAGCAATGTTCCAGCTAGTTTGGATGATGAGTATGCTCAGGTGTTTGGTCCAGAGCGTTCAGGACGTGTACGTTGTATTGGTCGTGGACCCACTCCTTCAAAATTACTGAGACGCTCGGTTGTACGTGTAGCAGAGATAGAAAATTCTGAAACGATTGTTGAACTGAAGGCAGAAGTTAAAGGCTTAGGAGATCAAGTAAAAGCAATGAGTACGTTTATCCAACAAATACTTGGTACTTCAACTAGTAAACAGGTAATATAATAATAATCTATAAATTAACTTTTGTTATTATAATTTGAATATATAAAACTAATATACTAAACTATATATTAAGGCAACTGCATGGGCTTTAAGTTTTGCTGCACCTTTTGCGCACATACAAAATCCAGGATTTGCAAACATACCAGTTGTGCCTAATCTTCTGGTAAGTGATAGTTACATATAAATTGTGTTGCCACCAAATCTTTAAATGATAATCTAATATGTTACATGAATTTTTTTCTCAGGGAATGGATGAGAGAGTGAGAGTGCCGACTTATCCAAACAGTTATGAGTTAAAACCGTGCTAGTCATGATCCACATTAATTTAGCAGAACTTCTTAGCACTTTTTAGCACTTTTGGTTTATTTATATTGTATGCATTTCCAAAACTTCTTATGAAGATGGTTAAACTTAATTCTGTGTTTTAATTTGCTTTCCATTATATTAATTATTTCAATCTGTTTTTTTAGATTTTAATTAAATATTTTTTTTATATTTATTTTTTAAGAAAATCAATTGAAATGCAAAATCATTATTTTTAAATATATTTATAAAACTATTTTTTGTCGGTTTTCAAAATTGATACAATTATTAGATTCAATTATAAAACTGATCCAAAATTGACATCAATTACGTATAATTGATTGTAAAATTTTGAATCAAAAGTCCTAAATGATCTAAATATTAAATCATTTATTATAAATGAGACAACTATTTAAATAGTTTATTATAAATGACATAACTATTTCAGTCAGTTCTTATAATATGATACTACTATTTCAATCGGTTCTTATAAATGATACAATTATTAAATCAGTTATGACAAATTATACGACTATTAAAATCACTTATGATAATTGACACTAAAATTAACATCAATTATTAAAATCGATACAAATATAAACATCATTTGTAGAAATTAATATAAAAGATAGTATCAGTTTTTCCAAAGTGACACAAATTGTCATCGATTAAAATAACTGATGCAAAAAAAAAAAATATTTGCATCTGTTGATAATTAAATGATGTTAATTATTGGCATCATCACATTCAAAGTCATTTTTCTAAGTGATGCAAATTGCATTTACATCAGTTATAAGTAATGCAATAATACAAAACAAATGATACAATCTACCCTTTTTTTTGTAGTGAGCTATTTGGATGAACAAGAGTGGTAAGAAGGAAAAAGATGATCAAAATATGTATATGATAGCCATGAAATCACTTTTCAATCCACAAACATGATAATTAAAAATCCAGATTAAGGTTCAAATAGATAGAATTGATTTTCAATGACAAATGGTTTCAGTATGAGATAAGAGCATCAAATTTAGCAATCCAAGCATGGTTTAGCCTTAACTTCTAACATTCTTATGATGCATTAAACAATTAACCAGTAAGACACTTAAATCAAACCTAAACACTTAGCATTTTAGAAGGAGAATTCATCATCATGCCATATGCAAATGAAATGCAGTCTATATGCAAAAACTAGACTCAATCCTAAGAAAATGAAATGCAGCTGCATGCTCTCTTTTTGGTTTGCAGAAACATGCAAAAAAATTTCAATATTTTCGGTTTTATTTGTGATTTTATATACCTTACATGAATGCATGATATGCATGTAACTCAAAGATAAAAGAAAATGAAAAAAATAAGAAAAGAACAAAAAAAGTTAAACCCCAAATCTCTCCCACCACACTTAAATTACACAGTCTCTTGTGTAATAAAAGGAGTGAGAGAGAGAAGCAACAAAATATATTACAAAAACCTAAAAAAAAAATGCAATGGTATATACAATGGTAAGGATGTGGTACCTTAGTTGTGGTAAGAGGAGTGGTGGGATGAGTTAGAGGGTTCTTCAGTACATCCTGGATGAATGAAGGATCCTGATGTTACTGGTTGTGGAGACTGACTCGCCGTCCTCTTGTTTCTCCTCTTCTTTCCTTGTGAAGAAGTTGCTGGTTCTTGTGGTGGAGGAACCCAACATGGCCAATGAGCTTATACTTGAGTTGAGTTGCCTTGAGCATCCCACTCTTGCCATGTTGTATAAACCTCAGAAGGATTGCAAACTGGCTCCTCCCATAGGATGAAGCCCTTCAAGGTTCCCAAGCTGCACTTGGAAGGAATGTCTTTCTTCAGGCATCCAGATTGCTTCCTCTTCTTCATTAGGTTCTTCCTGCTGCACGTGCTCTTCATGGTGTGAAGTATACTCATGAACATGGCTTTGTTGAAAAGCTCCTCTTGATGTAGACTTGTCTTTCTTGAACTTCCCTTTGACCAGATTCGCCAGCTTTGTTATGGTCTTATCGTGCCATTTACACAACCTTTGGAGTTTGTTGATGTGATCATGGGCATGCTTCAGAGAGCTTCCTTGGCTTGGAATCTCAAGAGATTTGAAGTGAAACCTCATGCTGTTGTATTCCAGAAACTCATCTTCATCTTGCTCTTCCTCTTGGATATCCTCTTGATTTTCAGCACCAACAGCAGCTTCTTCTTGCACTTCCTTCTCACTGCTCTCTTCACCTTCTTCTACATTAACGTCTTCATCAGCCTCTTCTCTTTCTTCAGTGACAGGGCTACCATGATACATCACTGTCTCATCTGGACAAAACTCTATATTGCTCCTCATGGTGATGGATGTATGCTGCTCATTTGGAAGGAGAAACTTTGCTGGCTCTTTGGATGGCTTGGTGAACTGATAGATGTGGTTCTCTTTGATGTTCCTCTGCAGGTAGTGACTCCTTCTGAGATACACCAGATATATCCATTGAGGTGGCAAAGTATCTGCAGCATGCTCCTCAAGATCCACTCCACTTGCCATCATTATGGCTGTCAAAATTCCTCCAATGTGTAGCTGTGGGTTCTTCTGTCTCTTCCTCTTGAGTATGATCCAACTTCTATAGGTATAAAGTTGCTCCATCAGTAAAGTCACATATCAAGGAAGCTTTGTTGGCCTGCCTAGAAGTTTGCCATCCTTGGTGGATGATGAGGACATCGACCCAAACGAAGACATTGGCCAACTACCCGAGGTTCGTGAGGCCCCCATGACACGTTCAAGGACAAAACAGCTGAGAAAAAGGTTCAATTTGGCCATAGAAAGCATCATACAAACATTCGGACCAGAGGAACTTACCTCAGTTGGAACGGGACGTGACATATGCAACGATGGTACCACGGGTCGTAATGACAAGACCACGGGTCGTAATGACGGTACGGAGGGTCGTACCGTGATTCATACTGATCGTACCATGCAAGACGAGATCATAGATGGGTTTAACCGCCTTGCCATCCATTCGCCTCGCCAAGGTAAGATCATTAACCCTTCCAAACATACTTTACCAATCACTAACCTTGCAGGAACGTTCACGTTGAAGGAACTTCATACACCCCAAGACCGCATCACAACAAGTTCAAGGGAAAGGATACAAGAAGGCTGGAACGAGTCAAGTGAGGATAGATGATCATATTCAGCATGCATTTAGAGTAGTTTTTCATGCATTCATCTTATATTTTAGGCTAGTTTGCACCATTTGTCTCATTTTAGGTCCTAAGTGCATTTTGCATTAGCATTTGCATATTTCTTGCATTATGGCATCATATTCAGGTTGTTTTGGACACACTTGAGCTGTGGAGGTTGCGTGGATATGCTAAGGATTGAGAGGGAGCTTGTGGACACTTGGGAGAACTCAACCATTTAGCGAAGGGACCGAGATGGAGAGAAGGATCGAGCTAGGCAGGTCGATCTAGATGAGATCGACTAAGCCCGGGTCGTTTCAAGGAAGGGATCAAGGTCAAGATCGACCAAGGGGATCGATCGTGAGTACAGACGTGGACTAAGCCATGCAGAATGAGAACCAGATCGAGTTCACAACTCGATCATCCGAGGATCGACCAGAAGATCGATAGAAGCACTCGATCCATCCGACGAATCGACCCAATGATCGAGCAAAAGAAGACGTACTAGCCGGGAGATCGAGTGATCAGATCGACTACTCAGCTCGATCTCAGAACCTTATCCGGCTAGCTCACTTTTGGACTTTAGTGGGGGGACCATTTTTTTTGTTTGGCTATTTTGGGCGAAAAATCCCATCACTTTCATTATCAACACTTTGTCTCCAAGTTTTCAAGTTTCTCTTTAGGCGATTAGCCATTGTTGAAGTTTTTAAGCTTTTCTAGTATTGTAAACATTTTAATCTTGCTTAATCTAAGTACTTTTCTTAATTGCTCTTGCTTAATCATGTTTAGCTTTCTTTCCTTTGCATTTTCGTGTGTTTTAGCAATGTGTAGTGAGTATATTTCCTTGGGTTAAAGGTTGGGGCGATTTAAGGGGTTTAAGGGCTTAAGCTTTGGTCTTTTTCTTGTTCTTAATCTATTCTCTTCTTGGATTTGGGGTCTTAATGCTTAGAGAGTCTTGGGAAAGATCTCTATGATCCCAAGGCTTTTCTTACCTTGACTGGATTCAGAAACCCCTTAAAGTCAAATCCAAGAGACTAACTCATCTTTTTCCAAACGCCATGGATGCTTAGGGAGCTAGTTAAGCCAATATTTGAGATCTTTGCTTAATGTTTTTTGATCCTTCTTTCCACTACACGCCATAGGTTAGGAGGAAGGGTTGAGGAAATGATCTATACCACACGCCTTGGATAGATTTCTTCTAGCTTCTCAAGGCTTTGAGATAGCTCATCAAATGAGTAGATCTATGTTTTCAAACCCATAATTTGAATCTTGAACCCTCTTAAACATGACCCTCAACCTTGAATCCTCTTTTTAGCATTTTAAAACACAAGTTTATCATTTCCTAGTCATAAAGTTTGCATATTTAATCTTTAAAAGTCATTGCTCTAAGTTGCTAGAAATTCTCTGTTTATCAGCCTTTAGAGTTCGATTTTATAAAATTAATGGTCTTGCGTTTTAAATTCCTAGGAGTCGTCTCGTAGTTGTTAATCCTTAACAGGGGATTTTAAATTAGTTTTCTTGCTCATTGGTCGTTGCATTTAGTTTTCATATAATTTCACATCCATTTAACTGAATCTGCTTAGATTTGCTTTGCTCTTGCATTCTTAGTGACTTTCATCAACCTAGGCTGCATTGACACCTCTTTCACTATAGTACATCATAAACTGTGGTTTGGGATTTGATTTCAACTTGCTAAAAACGTGTTTATCAAATGGCGCCGTTGCCAACTTGGGTTTGATTAGAAAGCATTAGGATTTGGAGCTTAGCAAAGACTAAGTCCTTTATTTTACTTTGGTTACTCATTTCTCTACCTTCCTGCTTGTCTTCTCAGGTACATGAATTTAAGGTC